GGTTAATAAAATACAGGGAAATTGATCCATATTTATGCATTTCCCTCACTGCATAGCATAAGACTAGGGCTGTTCAGAATGTTGTGGAAATGGTCTGGGATTTGCAGTTGGAATTGCATTTGCAAAGTTAATACTGGCTGCCCTGGCAACCGTGTGCATTTTATTGTTGTGAATGTACAAATGCAACGAATATACAAATGCATGAGCATATGCACAAGATGAACAGCCCTACTGTACCGTAATCCCACTATGGCCTAAAAAATTGTAAAACATCGGAAACCATCGATGTATCGATGATTTTCTGCCGATGTATTTTGGCATCGATGTTGATTTCTCCGATGTATCGATGTTGATTTCTCCGATGTATCAAGACATCGATGTATCGATGTTACTCCTTAAAATTCGCATCCCTGTTTGTGGATACTCTCTAATATAAGCCAGCACCAATAATGCTCGCAATCCCGTACTCAGTCAAAACAACATAAATCCAAAAACAAGCCAAAATCAAAACCACAAAACATAGGTTATAATTAACATATGTTATAACGATTTAATACATTAAGAGCATGTGTGTGAATGGCGAACTAAATCCGCGGCAAGTAAATTTTTGACAACCGTGAGGTGAATGAAATTTCAGTAGCTCATGAGGACAGTGGAATGTTTGACAATAGATTAAATAAAAGCTTAAATTAATGAATTGCCTTCAACGATGGACGATTTTTTCTTAAAATATTAATTTCACTTCAATTTGTAATTTTTTATTCCGCAAAAATCTGCGGTTATCAAAAATTTACTGCAGTCAAAAAATATTTAATTTCACACATCAGATTGGCAAAACTGCGTCACCATAGTAAAAATATTATTCAGCCGCTTTCCCTATAGAACTTTGTTACCCTATGTAAAATAATATATTTCAAGAATTTTTGATATTTAATACAACAACTATTTTTCATAATTTTACACAAATTCACGATCATTTCCACACGGCAACACTCGATTAGTTTGACAGCACTTGCAGAAAGAATTTCCGAAATCGATTTTCGCTATTTAAGTTGCAGTCACACCCTGCATCTTTTCTGAAACTGATATCCGAAAAGTGACAGAAAGATCTTTCTGGCTGTTCACACATCGAAATAAAATTTCTCTTTCTCAATTTGACTGCGAATTGTGTGGAAAAGACGGAAATATTGCCACGTCTGACCGGCTCTTTACTTAGGCTGAATTTCTTTATTCATTCTGAACGTTTGGAATAAACTTTTTTGTTTACTTATTCTTTAGAACGTTCCTGATGATATGTTAACGTATATTTCAAACGTATTCTGTTTATTCCGGCTGTGAAATGGGATTATCCGGAATGTATAAAGAAACGCAGCCTTAGGGTTTACACCGGACAATACTATCATGACAATAGCATTGAGTGCGATTATATTGGTATTTATTATAAAATATAAAAAGTGAAAGTTGATAACAATTAGCAAAAAGTTCATAAAATATGGTTTTCAGGACTGAAAGTGTTTTTCAATCGCATATCATCAGAACGGGTCGATTTTTCAATGCCAACGTTCTGACCACAAATGTGCACCCACTTCTCACTAAAATTTAGGACTTTAAGCAGACCAAACAAACGCGCAAACTTGTTTCAATCACACACTTCATTTTATATCATACATTTGTAATAAACCAAAATTAAAATCACTCATAAAACACATCAAATTGCTAAAAAAGCCACGCCGAAGCGATAGAAGACGATTTAAACAAAACGGCAAAACTTTTTTCTGAAATTCGATTACAAATACAGCGATGGCCGATTGAGTGATCTCTGTAGTCATTGGCCCGTAGTCATAGTCAAAATAAAGTCGACTTTAAAGTTAGTTGCAGCTTTTTTGACAGATATCCCATTGAAAATTATGTCAAAAAGCTGCAACTAACTTTAAAGTCGACTTTATTTTGACTTTGACTACGGGCCATTGGTTCATGGTCTATGTGGTTATTTATAGATAAATGTCAAATTAAATGCGAAAAATACAACCCTGCGTAGAAAGATATTTTCGAAGCAACAAATCGCCGTCAAATTTCAGATTGTTCGAAAAGTTCATCGAGTGTGGTACGTTTGAAGTGGTTTGCGTTCGGTTGTGGAAAATTTAATACCCGTACGCCCCTGATGGAAATAATATCAAGTAAAATATAATAACGTGTGGAAATTATTAAATTAAACACTTTAGTAAGAAGTGTAAGTAAAAAATCATAGGATAATACCATAAATTACGTAAGAAATGTAGTGAGTGATCATTGTAGTGCACAACCAAAAAGGAAAAGGTGATTTCATTCCTTTCGCAGTGTTGTCGGAATAAAATAATGGAGGGGTAGATAACGAAGAAAAATGGCAGTAGTAGAGAAACATATGAAATAGACAAACAAACAAAGAATGTTGACACAAATAGCGGATAAACTCCAGTGAGTAGCTGCAAGATGGCATCATCAGCAAAACTAGATTTGCCAAGAAAAGAACGCAAAGGAAATGCGTAATGCAATTAACCAACTGTCTGATATTAGGGCAGCATATATATGTAGATCTGTGTTCATATGGAATAGTACCTTATGTCGAAAGACTGGCTTTAGTATAATGCGGCATTCGCAGCATACGATTGCGAATGACTCACTGGCGCCGAGCCGTTGAAGAACTTTTGGCAAATAAACGTGTAAGAATTAGCTCCGATAAGATAAGGGGGAATGCTGCATTATACTAAAGCCAGCTTCTCGACATAAGCTACTATTCCATACGAACACAGCTATATGTACATACATATTTGTATCTACATAAATAGATGGCTGCAGTGCCACTCCCACTTTCTGGTAGTGTGAATTACCGTATGTATGAGTTTGAGACTTATTTTCAAATAGAACAAGTTACCAAACGCCCACACAGACCATAACTGATCTTTCCAATTTTTTTTATCTTATAAAAGTTCATGCGCTAATGTATATACATATGTACATAGTTCATAGGTATATATGTATAAATGCTTATGATCTTATGTGTAAAACTGAAGAAACCCAACTGAACGTTCAAACGTATTTATATATTTATGTACATATATCTCATAATAGCTTAAAGTAGTTGATTATAGATTCATTGCTTTTTCCAACGCTGGCTCCGTCTTATCGCAGTTGCTTGTTGCTGTTATTTTACCTTCGATGTTATTTGCGGCGCTGTTGCTGGTGGATTCAGTGTTGGCGTTCATCTCGTTTCTGCTGATGCGTGGGCTAAATATAGCTAACGCAACCCACCATCGCCACCATCATTGGGTACATACATATAGTACTTTTATATTGCATACATATTTGTTTATGATTTGTACATATGTAGACTAGTCTGTAAAGTTTATTCACGTGCGCCTTAAAGTTTATAAAAATAGGTTGTCACATCGTTACTCATAGAAACAAAGTAACCAGTTATCCCATTATATACAGATACCTACTGTGCACTCATTCTATACGATCATCGGCTTCGATTCGAATCTAGTAATATCCAACTCAATGAAACGTTTGATGACTGCAGTGAAAGTATGACAGGTCATCTGTTATTTATTTGTATATTCGTATACTTATTCGATAATTCATAAATTTATTGCAAATGTTTATTTGAATATTTGCAGATGGTGCTTGGTCCTCGATTTGCTTTTGTAAAATCGACTGCAGAATTCAAGTTCATGATGTTTCCTATGAGTATCCCTTTCCTGAATAAAAAAGCGGTGATGTCTATTCCATATTGAAACGAGAGGGGGTTCCATTTTATGATTTCCAAACCTAAAAAAAAAAACATTCTTTTGTAGCTGATCGCACAATGTTGATCACCAGCAAAAGCTTCGATAACTTGAAGCAAGTATTATGCTAATGGTGGATGTCGTCTTCATATCTCACCTGACCACAATCTATCCAATTGATGACCTCTCGTAAACTTATCAAACAAATCTTAGCTTATTTATTTAATATAAAACATTGGCATATGTTATTTACTTACATATATATGTATTTATTTATTTCTCCCGAATTACATATTGTACATACGTATGCGGGTGTGTGTATAAGTTAACTTTCCCTTGTCCTTGGAGCTTTCATATTATTTAGCTCACCGGTATAAGCTTTTGAAAATCGATTTACTGTTGTTGACCTGACTTCAGATAAAAAAAAATCGCGTTAAAACTATGTAGTTTGCTATTTAACATGCTTTCCGCACAATGCAATTTCAATTTCGAATTTTGTTGTTAGTCAGTGATTGGCGTCAATAGGCGCCCTACCATATTCAACACTTCCTTTGTGTCTGCGCCAATTAGTCTTATGTTATCCTACCCTTATTTAGATGCATTTATTCGCTGCCTCATTGTTCCGTCATCCATTTCCTTAATTGAAAATCCATTATGTTACACGGCCACACTTCTACCGCCAATTCACGCAAGCTTAGCATTACTCCTCACTCCTTTCGTCGTCGTTGTCGTGCCGGGCATCCGTAATCGTTTTAATCTCAAATATATACGTACATACTACATATGTACATATGTACATAAATATTTATATACATTCATATGTATAAACATAACAAATTACATATGTATGTATGTACATATCGTTGCTTTAATATAGAAAAGCCTTAACTCATATGGTCGCTGAAATGCAAAAAGCCGTAACTGACTAAAATTTTTTATTGCTTAAAATAATGTGGGGACTTATAATTCAACGAAATGCATCATAATCAATCAAAAAGGGAATTTTAGATTTTTACTTAGTTACGGATTTTTGTATTTCAGCGACAATGTGAGTTAGGGCCTTTCTATATTAAGGTAACGATATGTGTGTATGAATGTTTATCAGGCTTTCGTAATTTCTTTATATTCTTACATACAAATTTTCGTACATATGTACAATGTTTGTATATTTCTTATGTTCGTTGTGTGATTTCATTTTCTTGGTCACTACCTCTCAATTCGCTTGTTGGCGATGTCCATGGCAGATGACTCACTATTAGCTCACAATTTGATTCATATGAAATCGCGCTGAGTGTCTCAACAAAATCAACAATAGCAGTGGCGGATAACGTCAGCAGTGCAAGCGAAAATAAATAAAATTAAAAATAAAGTAAAGTAAAAAGAAAAATCAAACAACTAACGTGCTATTTATGCCTTAAGCTGTATTTTTACTAATTTATTGAAATTTACAGGTAGAATATAATTTTTTAACTAACAGGCAAAACGGCTGCGATTATATTAAATTTGTTTGTGTAGGTAAACGGCTTTAAATACTAAAATGCAAAATAATCGATTTTTTTTATTATTATTTTTTTACAAGTATTTATGCGTCAACTCTTATCTGATCAGTTTGGAAGTTATTTGATTCTAATTGATACAGAAATCTTCTCTTTTTGACCTACATATATAGTGATACTCAAGGAATTAAAATAAAAAGGGTAAGCTGATATTTTGGTAGTGAATGGCGAAAGCGGGTTGTCTCCAAACTAAATTTGCCAAGGGATGAAGGAAATTGTTCCGTATACGTCATATCTAGCATGCAGATGCACCTATAGCCAAAAAATTTATTATTTACTTGCGCTTTGTGTATTTTATACCCTTCCATATTTGCATTTCAAATACAAATTTTATTAGTTTTGAACTTTCACTCGCTACAATTTCTTATACTTAATCTTTCTTGGATTGTTTTCCTGTTCAATTTACTTATCTATTTATAATTTTAAATTTAAACAGCTTCCAGTCCATTGTTTTCCCACATTGCACACGACTAGACAGTCTTCAAGCAACGCATATAACGTAATCAATCATGTTATCACCACACCCCCACGGCCTACCACCTGCCTCCTTACGGCTGTTAGCTATGCTCTTTGCCACACTCTTCGCCTGCAGCAGCATTTTGTGTGTAGAAGCGCAGCTAGCTGGCAAAATCATACAAGATCCCTGTGTGAACAAGGCATCCTGCCATGAATGTATACAAACACAGAATTGCGCTTGGTGCATGCAACCTGAGCTGGGAGATTCACCACGTTGCTTCAGAAATAGTATACTAAATTATTGCAAGGAGGAATATACCTGGAATCCTCAAACAGAGCAACGAATGGTGATTAACCGCGAATTAACTCGTGGCGGTAATGCAAGCGCTGCCGGTGGTTATGGTTATGGCTATGGTGGTTCTTACGAGTCCGGTTATAGTAGTAGCTCATCGTCCAGTTCGTCGTATGCAGGTGCTTATGGTAGTGCAGCTGCAGCTGCCGCCTCTGGTGCCGCGAGTGCTAGCGGCGAAATTGTGCAAATTAGTCCACAGCGTGTTAGCCTCAAGTTACGTATTAGTAAGTTGTGTTGAAACTAGGCTTTCTGTCAGGTTACCACAAATACATTGGAACGTACTTTCTTTATAGATCAAATGCACTCCTTGAACATGCGTTACTCACAAGCTGTCGATTACCCTGTTGACTTGTACTATTTGATGGACTTGTCCAAATCTATGGAAGACGATAAGGATAAGCTGTCTGCTTTGGGCGATAAACTATCAGAGACTATGCGTAATATTACATCGAACTTCCGTTTAGGTTTCGGTTCATTTGTCGATAAGGTGCTGATGCCATACGTTTCAACTATACCCAAAAAGTAAGTCAAAACATTTTATTATATTTTCTAAAGTGTTATATAGTGCATATATAGTTAAAGTTAAGTTATACATATATAATTTAATTATAATCTTAAAACTCAGAGCTATAGATTTTAGCTGCGCTTAGCCCTAAGATTAAGTTTATTCGGTAAACATTACTTTACCACTTAAAAGTGGACAAGGGTTCTCATAGACCTTCGAGCTCATGTCGAAGAATGCTGGAAATGCTATTTGTGCTAATTATGATAAACATTAATTTTTAGGTTCCTTACAATAAAAATGAGTTGTTTCAACAAGATTAGCCATTTTCACGAAAGCAATTTAAGTGAAATTTTTTTTGTTTGAATTTAATACCTATGAAAACTGACAGAAAGAAAAAAAAATCATTTTATACAAAAATTGCTGGTCACAACAGCGGTAAATCTTTTAATTTATCACTTTTACCAGGAATTGATGTCAATATGTTGCCGCAGATTTGGAGTGTTGCTTAAAGGTTAAGAATATTTTTCTGTCAGCTTAAAAGTATTTAAATTTGGGGTTATATTTGGGGTAATCACACCTGCATGTTTATCTGGTTATGATTTTAGCACAGTTTACAAAAACAAAATACCAACAAAATACCCTAAAGAATATTAATTTGTAACCAGATTAGCTCATAGAAATCGTAAGATATCGGAAAAATATTTCCATTAAATTGTAGAAAAAAATATATATTGTCAAAACGCGGCGTGAAAATTAAGCACTTGGCCCGATCTCATGAATATTATTTTTTTTATTTACACAAGGTGATAGCGGCAGCACAAAAAGCAAAACACTACACTAACAAATCATACGGACGATGACAATCAGAACACCAAAAACTTACAAAAACCACATCATTTTGACAATCGGCGCAATTGACCTTGAAATCATCTGCTCCGGCAACACCACCTAGTAGGAATTCGCGTTGGGTTAGACTTAAATTTTTTTTATAGATATTTGGTCTGTTCGATAATCATTGCTAATTATCACAAGTTATCAGGTTTTAGCATAGTTGCCAACTTGGTGCTTTAATCACTAGATTTAGTGCTTTTTCTGAACTAAAATTATTCCGATATAGTTAAAACCTGAAATAATTTTTAAATATTCAAAGCTGTGGCAGCACTGAATTTACAAAAATCTACAAATTTAAATGCACTTAAATACAACCATGAGTGACAAAAAGCTGAACTTGCAAATTCTCCTTGTTCAATTCTATTCGCGTTGAAAATGCTAGTAGATATGCGAGTAAGTTAAGTAATTCTTTTTTTTTCTAATTGTTTGTAAAAATTTTTATTTTTGTACCTCCTGAGTAAAACACGTCGTTTCTTGGTGCTGAATCCAAATCTGGCTTCACAATTGCTCTAGCACTAGAATTTTGAGATATCCTAACCTCAAAGTGCCAAAATCACGGTTTTTGGCGATATTTCAGGTTATATAATGAAAACATAAATTTTTTTTTGCTCATTTCTACTTAGGGCATGATTTTCGTTTGTTGGGACTCGATTTTATTAAATACATACAAACTGTTATGAAAAAAGCATCCATTGATTCAAAGCCATTTGGTGCTTTTAGTGTGGTAAAACGCTTTTTTCCAAGTTTTTGTTGCTTTTTGAAAATTAAAAGTTGGCAACACTGGGTTTTGGCGTTTTGTGTACGCGGAAGCCTGCAAAGTAGGGAAGTGACAGTTGATTTTGCGGGGAAGGTGCTAATTTTTGTTGAAAAATTTTTCGTTCGCGTGCTGTTTTGAAAATTTTTGTATTTGAGAGTTAATTGTTCGTTACTCTCGTGTGAATTGCTGCTAGATAAATATTATTGGAGTTCTATTCGAACAGACCAATCATGTATGTATTTATTAAGAGACTTCAGCATTTTTCGACCGTTGTTTTTGCGTAATATTTTCATCAAACTTGACAAGGGATCAGAAAATGTGTTTCAATACCATATAATATTTTAACCCTTAAAGGGCCGAATTCACAGTACTTAGTTAAACCATTGTTAACTTAACCATGTTAAACACATAGTTAAACTCTTGTCAGGGATTAACTACGCACCGTGAATTTGACCTTCAATCATTAAAAGTGATAGTTAGAGCGCTAACATTTTCTATAGAACGGTAGAACTTATGCCGGATTTCCACTGGGCTTTACATTACTAAAATTTTAATGACAAAGTTGAGCTTTAAAAATCCGTATCATTAAGTTAATTAAAATATCCATTAAGGTCCCATCTATATGGTATTTTCTAAAAGTCACGCTGTTTTTATCCATTTAGACATTGACCTAGTGGAACTCAGCATATTACTTAGTACATGATCGTTCTCTACATACATATGTACATACATACAGTTGTATACGAATTTACGCAGAAAAATATTTAACTGTCGTTTATTTATTTATTTAAATCATAATTATTAAATATTTATTTTTTTCTGACACAAAAAGTATCTTATTCTAATTACTATTCTAGATTATTAATTTTCTCTTAATATTAGTAACAACAGTTCACCAAAGTTATATTCTGACTAATACACTTTCTTTCTTTTTTTACAATGATATTCTTGTTCACATTTTTATTGTTATTTGCCGTTAAAATTCGTTTGCCGTTCATTGCAAATTGGTTTCGTATTTGAAAAATGCATTTCTTTTTTTTTTGTTACGTTCACCACAAAACATAAACCGATAAACAAATAAAAAATGGATTAAAATAAAATTGCTGCAAAATAAACAAAAAATAAAATCAACCTCATTAAAATAAAATAATAATATTAAAAATAACTAACCCAACAACTCTAAAATTAAAAAAATATTTGCTGCTACTACTACTACTACAACAACAACTCAAAACCCGTTAATAATGCGCTGTAACCACCATATCAACAACAAACAATAAATAAAAAATCAACTACCTCCCAACACATCCAACCACTATTAAACAACAAACGACAACTACCAACTACA